CTGGAGTGTGAGCTCTGAGAGGCCAAGAGCTGTCTGTCTGTCATATTCAGCAGCGTGTCCCCCGTGTAGGTGTTGCAAGCCCATGACAAATATTTGTTGAATGAATGAAAGACAGTCTTCCCCTCACTTGACTGTGACCTCCTTGAGAGCAGCACTGGCTACACAGTTCCTGAGTATTTTTTGATTAAATGGAGTTAAAATGCATAGGAGGAATACTTCACCACGCCTGGGAAACTGGAGAGACCAGAGGAGATGAGGCCTGAAAGAGACCAAAAGAATGAAAAAGTTATCTAGGTGGAAGGCACATGGAAGTGGGAAGACATTTCAGGCAAGAGCAAAGGCTGAGAGGGGAGCCTGGTATGTTCCAGAAACTGCTAGTCATTTGGCTGGAACTTAGGGTACATGAGGGACAGTGGCTACAGGAGGAGGCCAGGCCATTTATTCATGTGTTCATTGATTGAGTCAGTAGATGTTGATACCTATAATGTGCCGAGACCTAAAGGTAGGAAATGAACCGGATAACCCTTAGAGCAAGGGTTCTTCAGGAGTTCTGAGGGTTCTGAGGAGTCTGCAAATTATCTAGAAGGTGCTTTATCTTGGCGGTGGGAGTCTTTGAGAGTTTTTTGGTTTTTTGTTTTTGTTTTTTTGAGACACGGTCTCACTCTGTTGCTTGAGCTAGAGTGTAGTGGTATCATCATAGCTCATTGCAACCTCAAACTCCTGGGCTCAAGCAATCCTCTTGCCTCAGCCTCCTGGGTAGCTGGGACTACAGGCGCATGTCACAATGCCTGGCTAATTTTTCTATTTTTAGTAGAGACGGGTCTTACTTTTGCTCAGGCTGATCTGGAATTCCTAGCCTCAAGTGATCCTCCCACCTTGGCCTCCCAGAGTGCTAGGATTACAGGCGTGACCACCATGCCTGGCCCAAGAGGTTTAATAAGGGATGGTTGGGTGACATGATAGGATATATATTTTCGAACACTAGAACAGTGCATCTCAAATTATCTGTGGTGAAGATAAGGATGTTTTTCTTTCTGATTTCCAAACCATCAAAGAAATAAAGATAATACAATTATAAGAAAAAACTAAATATAAATCTATATTTCTTCATACTAAATTCAGCAGCACACAGTTACTATAAAATTGTTATGAAAGTTTTCCAGCGCCTACTTTCAATTTCCATTCTTATAGACCAGTGATAACTGTTTGCAAACAGCACCAGTTTGCAGACTGCCCCTTAAGTAGCACTGTTTAAAGAGATCGAGTCTTGGCTGCAGATGGAGAATTGATTGGAGGAGGATTGAATGGAGGCAGACACCAGTAGGGAGGCTATTTCTTTGATCCAGGCAAGTGATAATGGTGGTCTGGACTGGAATGTGGCAATGGAGATAGAAATTTTGGAGGTAAAAGATTTGGTGAAGGGGAAGAATCAGGGGGAAAGGTAGGAATGAAAGGTGCTTAGGCAACTGGGTTGGATGACGGTGACGTTGACTGAGATCTGGACTGGGAGAGGTACACATTTGAGGGAGGGTGATGTTGAGTTTGAGGTATGTGTGGGACCTCCAGATGTCCAAGAGGCAGCTGGGAATATGTCTTGAGAGCAGATGCAGACCTGGTTGTGGTCTTTAACAGAAGAGAAACTCCCTGGGCTGGTCTAGCATTGACTCCTTCCTTGGTCTCTGACTGTCAGACCCAGCTGGTGGTGGTGCTGTTTGTCTCTGGGGGGAGGCAGAGGGGTCGGGGTGTAGGAGAGGGGAGGGAGGGGCGTTGGCAGGGTTGCCTATGTTGGGACTGGGATTCAGGCCAGGATTCTGTGGAAATGTGTGACCTTGGGCAGCTCTGGAGGAGTTGCAAATCCCCCTGTCACCACTGGGTGGCAGTAGTGCTTTAGATAAGAGTTGCATGGCCTAGGGGGGCTCCTGAACCTTTCTCCAGGTATTTAGCCATGTGCCCAACCCCACAGTTGACCTTTGGACTCACAGAAGTGCTTACATGGGGGGCCTTCACCTTCACCATGGGGGCAGGAGCACGTGTTGCATTACTGGAGCTCTGGAGCTGAAGACGAGGTGAAGTTGCTCCTGGGGTGAATCAGGCAGGCTACAGTTCCAAAGCCTGCGAGGGCCTATGGTCAAGCAAATGGGTTCTTTCCTCACGCCAGGCTGCCCTCTGCAGGGGCACAGGCAGAGGGCTGCTTTTACAGGCGCTGGCAATAAACGGGAGCAGCTGTGGTCATGGGCTGGAGCCTGCTGGACATGAGCCGACGTGACGTGAGCATGCCCCTGCTGTCCTTTTCTGCCAGTAGACTGTGCAGGTGCCGGTGTATTCAGAGCAGGAGTACCAGCTCTATCTCCACGACGACGCTTGGACTAAGGCAGAAACTGACCACCTCTTTGACCTCAGCCGCCGCTTTGACCTGCGTTTTGTCGTTATCCACGACCGATATGACCACCAGCAGTTCAAGGTGAGCTGTTGTGCATCTGCATGTGCGCCCAACCCCTGGGGCTGACCTTCATGCCGTCCCTTCCAAGTGCCCCTGAATGTTCATTCCACTGCCCGGTCTCGATCCTCAGAAGCGGTCCGTGGAAGACCTGAAGGAGCGGTACTACCACATCTGTGCTAAGCTTGCCAACGTGCGGGCTGTGCCAGGCACAGACCTCAAGATACCAGTATTTGATGCTGGGCATGAGCGACGGCGGAAGGAACAGCTCGAGCGTCTCTACAACCGGACCCCAGAGCAGGTCAGCCCCACGCCCCACACACCTCTCCTCCGTGCCTCAGACCCCTTGCCCCCATCCTCCGTGCACTCCACTCCCTCTCTCCCAGGTCCCCCTGCCTCCCTCGATACTCCGTGACCTGCCCCCAAGCCCATCCCCACGTGGGTCATTCTCCTCCTCTCCGCGGCCCTTCACCTCCCTCATGACCCCTTCTCAGGTTCCCTCACTGGCAGCCCAGCACCCTGTCACCGCCCTGTCCACCTGCTCTCCCACATGTGCCCTCACACACCTAGCATCTCTCACCTCCCAGGTGGCAGAGGAGGAGTACCTGCTACAGGAGCTGCGCAAGATCGAGGCCCGGAAGAAGGAGCGGGAGAAACGCACCCAGGACCTGCAGAAGCTGATTACAGCGGCGGACACCACTGCAGAGCAGCGGCGCACGGAACGCAAGGCCCCTAAGAAGAAGCTACCCCAGAAAAAGGAGGCTGAGAAGCCGGTGCGGGGGCTGAGCCAGCCCAGCTCAGGGTGGAGGGGTTGCCTGGCACAGGGCCCCTCCCTGAGTGGAGGGCTCTGAGAGCACCTAGAGCTGGTGGGGTGCTGGGACTAACCCTAGGCCCATTTCCTGTGACACCTTGCTCTTCATAATGTCTTCTCCCCCAGGCTGTTCCTGAGACAGCAGGCATCAAGTTTCCAGATTTCAAGTCTGCAGGTGTCACACTGCGGAGCCAGCGGGTACGTGAGTCACCTCCCGTGGCGTGTTTGGGCCCTCGGCTTCTCTGCTCTGGGTTCCACATGCTGCAGCAGGTGGGCTGAGTGGTAGGGGAGGTGGCTGCAGACAGATGTGGCCTGTCTAGGATCTCAGGAGCATGTGGCCAGGCTGAAGTCACAGCTTGCACTATATTCTCCCTGGCTATCCCTTTTTTGGCCCATAGCAACCTCCATGGGTTACTTCTCTCTTCCACCTCCTCCACCCCCCGCTGCCTTTGGTCCCTTTCATCCTAAGCCTCTTGTGGGGGCGAGGGCTTAGCTGCTTGGGTCGTTGCAGATGAAGCTGCCAAGCTCTGTGGGACAGAAGAAGATCAAGGCCCTGGAACAGATGCTGCTGGAGCTTGGTGTGGGTGAGTGTGGCGACTGGGCACCACAGGCAGTACCCGCCCAGGGCTGTGGATGAAGGCTGGGCGTGGGGAGGTCAGCTCACAATGCTCGGCTTCCACCACACTGTGGCTCTACCCATGTGCTGCCCACCCTGCAGAGCTGAGCCCGACACCCACGGAGGAGCTGGTGCACATGTTCAACGAGCTGCGAAGCGACCTGGTGCTGCTTTATGAGCTCAAGCAGGCCTGCGCCAACTGCGAGTATGAGCTGCAGATGCTGCGGCACCGTCATGAGGCACTGGCCCGGGCCGGTGTGCTGGGGGGCCCTGCCACGCCAGCATCGGGCCCGGCCCCGGCCTCTGCTGAGCCAGCAGTGCCTGAACCTGGACTTGGCCCTGACCCCACCAAGGACACCATCATCGATGTAGTGGGTGCACCCCTCACGCCCAATTCGGTAAGAGCCTGGATAGGCTGGGAGATCATGCCCTGGCTCCGCTCTCTCTAGTGCCTGCAACAGGAATGATCAGCCCTGGGAGGGTCTGAGACTGAGCGGGGAGTGAGTTGGCCAGTGGGTGTCATCCCGAGAGTGCTAAACACACACACCACACCTGACTCGGGCCTTGGCGCCACTGACCTCAATACTTTCTGTGTCTCCTCAGAGGAAGCGAAGGGAGTCGGCCTCCAGCTCATCTTCTGTGAAGAAAGCCAAGAAGCCGTGAGAGGCCACATGGGGCGTGGGCGACGCAGTTGTGTAAATAGAGCTGCTGAGTTGGACTGGGCTGCTTCCTTTTCCTTCCCGCCACTTCTGATGCCCCTGGCTGGGGGGTGGGCCAGGAGGGCATCGCCACAGCCCCTCCACAGGGTGGGAGTCGGGCCAGCCTGCGTTCAGGCCCTTAGCAGCCCTCTGACCACTAACTACTACTAATTTTGCCAAAACTTCTGCACCTGGAACACCCATAGTTTTACACAGCAGTGGCCTCAGATACCAGAAGCTTCAAGCTTGCACAGTCCTCACACTTCCACAGGCTTTTGTACATTCGGTGAGGGGGTCACAGGTGCTGCAGTGACGGCCACTTGCTGATGGCCTTGTCCACAGAGCCTGAGGCATGCGCTACCCACCTTCACACCCTGACAGTGTGAGGCACAGTGACAGCCTTAACACACACAGATGGCTTTGCACACACACCCAGGGTCTCATTTCCCCGACTTTATTCAGTGGCACGTTCACAGCGGGGATGGGGATAGACACAAGGTGGGGCCTGATCTGTCCTGGAGCCCTGGGGGCACCACACACCATGCACTATGGATGGGAGGGGGCACGGGGGGCTTGGTGGCCCCAGCAGAAGCCTGTGTACCAGGGAGAAGGCGGTGAGTGCCTGGGTCCCCCTAGCCTGGGCCCACAATGGGAGGGGCTGATACTGGGCTGAGACTGAGGGGTGGGGATCGGGGGGCACAAAGTGTCTGCTCCAGAAGGGCCAAGTGGCCAAGCACTTGCCCAGGGCACAAGCCCACACGGCAGCTGGGGGACACTCTGGATGCAGAACTGTGCCACTCTCCCTTTTCCCCTCTAGAGAGGGAGAAGAGGATTCTGGGCTGGGCCAAACAGCTACCCTGTCCTGCCCCATCCTGTCCTCGGCCAATCAGAATGGCTTCGATGTCTGCTTGAAGATGAAGCCTCGATATGCGAGTGTCTTCATGATGTTGGCAATGTTCTTGCAGTCATCTAAAAAGACGAAGAGAAGACATTTAGATGGGCCCCAGATCCTTCCCCTCTGTGCCCATAGGTGCTCTTACAAGGGTGGGGTGGGACTCAGGGTCAGATTGAGGAGTGACAGGCTCTAGAGAGGGAGATCCCATCCCCTGGTGGCAGCATCTCCAGCTTCAGGCCGGGCTGGGTGATGCTGGGCCAGCAGGAAGCCTGGTCTCAATGCTGCTCAGTCCCATAATTCATGCTGGAAATTGGCCGGCATGTCCCGTCCCGGCCCCAGCGGTGATGTATGGGTGCCGTCGCAGTAAGAAAAAGGCAGAGTAAATGTGTAATTTCTCCCTTGACGGCCCCCAGCCGCTGGGCGATCCTTCTTGTTGCCGCTGCGTGGGGACGGCCCGTCCGCCACACTCCGTCTTCCCGCCACCCGCCTTGATGTCTCCATTTCATTACTGTGCGGCCATTCATCACGCCCACAGCCAGGGTGACTTTGCCGGCACTTTCGTGTGTGTGGGAGATGTGACCCAAGCCATAATCACTGGTGACAAGGCACAAGGCTCGGCACTGCTGGACCAGGGCCCTGGGAAACACCTGTCCTGTGCCCTGGCTTGTGTGATCAAACAGCAGCTTGCCTGTGCACCTGTTCCTGTGCAGGCTCAGAGAGGTTGGGGAGGGTCCAGATTTGTGGTCCTCACAGCCTTGGCCATCAGCCCTCTATTGGACACTCCTGTGTACCTCAGCCCAAGCCTGCCTCCGTCTCAGTCTCAAAGTGCATGCTGGTCACCTTATTGGGCCCTGTCTCTGCCCATACCTTAGGTAAAATGCCTGTGTGTGCCAGACCCTATCACACGCAGTGTTCCACTGTCCTAGAATCCTGGAGGCTGCAGGACCAGGCACTTTGGAGCCTCAGAATCATGGACACGGGCCAGGACTTGTTCCACTGCCGCCACCACCAGCAGGAGGTGCCGCTGCCCAGAGCTTACCCCACTGGAGAAAGCCTAGGAAACAGCCTGAGTTTTTCTGTTCAGCTGCCCAGAGCAGCCACCACTCACCAGCCCCTCACCCGCCTCACCTCCTACTCCTCTCCCACTTCCCTTAGATGTCTGGGACAACCAGGGCCTCAGCCGCCACCAACCCTCATGGGATCGATGCTGTGATTGAGGAAATATTGCACATCAATGTCATAATCAAGCGTGGGGGGTGGTGGTAAGGTCAAGGCAGGGTCAGGAGGTCTCTGCATCTGTCAGAGACCATCCCTTTCCACTGACCCCCAGGCCCACTCTTGCCAGGACCTTAGCCTTGGAACGCGGACCCTCCAGTGTGAGAAAAGGGCTGTGGGAGAGGGTGGAGTCTCTGGTCTGCCAGACACCGGCTCTGGAGCCTGCTCAGCCTGACTCGCAGAGCTCGGCGCAGATGGACCTGCAGTAAGTGTGGGCATGAAGAGGGGACACCTTGTTCCCCCAGGGACTCAGGAAGCCATGAGGCCTGGTCTGAGGCAGAACAGTGGGAAGACAGATGGGTGGGTACTGGCGGCCATGGCAACTCCAGACGTGACCCATCCCCGTGGTTTATGGGCCGGACACGCACCCCGCTCAGCTGAGGCCCCGTCATTTGTCTCCCTTAGTGTGTATGCCTGTGCTGTGGGGGTAGAGGGTGGTGGAGGGAGGGGGCTGTGACAGGAGGAGCTAGGCAGTTGACAAGAAGGGGAATGGGATGGGAAGGGGCCTGGGAGGGGGAAGGTTTATGATGGGGCCCAGGGGCTGAGATGGTGCTGGTGGAAGGGCTATGATAGGGTGACTTTCTTCCCAAATAAACCTGGTCCTGTCAGGGCACCTCCAATACTTCCTGTCTCCTGCACTCTGGGGACCATGGCCGCTGTGCATATTAAGAATAAGTCCCCTCGTTATCTGCAATTACCCAGCGGCCACACACCTTTCTTCCAGCAGAAAAGAAAATTAGTTTTCTATTGACTTCATCTGGCTCCTCCCTCATTGCTGGACAAATCGTTCAATCTGCTTTCCCTGGCCCAAGTGAATGTCCTAGCCCCAACCCCCAGGCCACCAGCCATCCAATGGGCAGGCACTGATCTCCCACCTGTGCCTGGCCACGTGCCCCAGTCTCTGTCCTTGACCTCTCCCCACTCCACACACTGGATGACTTCATCCAAATCCTGAGCTTCAGCTACCCCTGAAGCTCACCATCTCCAGCCTGGACCTCTCTCCTGAGCTCCAGACCACACACTAAGCCCCTTGGACATCTCTTTCTAGATATACAAACTCAGAATGTCCAATAATGAACTAATTTCCTCCCCGAGCTGCTTCTTACCCCTGTGTTCCCCATCCCAATGAACAGCACCATAATCCACCCAAAATGCCCAGAGAAGAAACCTGGGGGTCATATTGCCACTTCACCCTCTCCCTCACTCCCCAAATTTAATCAGGCATTAACTTCTGCAGATTTTCTCTTCTTACTCTCTAATCATCTACTTCCCTTCGTTCCTGCAGCCAGTCGCCCTGCTAGTCCGGATCCCATCATCTTTTTTTTTTTAATATGCACTTGGAATATACCATTATCTCTCACTTGGATTACTACAGCAGCTTGTCTTGTCTCTCTCCCTCTAATCCATTCTCTTGTAGCCAAGGTGATCTTTCTTACACAAATCTGATCATGTTCTTCCCTCTTTAAATCTATTCAGTGGCTCTCCTTGCCCTCAGTTTAAAGGCTTCTTAAAGGCTCTGCAAAAATTGATTGTTGCTATCTCTGGTCTCTGACACTCTCTATCCCCAATCCCTGTACTCCGATCTCAAGGAACCACTCACTATTTTCCGAAAATGACAAAGTGGGTTTTGGAGTCAGGCAGACCTGTTTCCAATCTTAACTTCACCCACTGGCTGCATAGCGTGCAGCAAGTGCTTAGCTTTTCTAAACTTCAGGTTCCTCCACTGGGGCTGACAATGGCCTGAACAAGGTGTTGCAGCCACATGTATTTGCATATGCTGTCCTTCATGCTTCCTGAAGAGATGGCAAGGATGCCAGTTTTCTGGATGAGCCAATGATGAGAAAGTGTATTCTGTACAAGCTGTGGCACAGACGACAGATAGGGGCCAGCACACTTGATGAAACCAACTGGCATCACTCCACAAACTCTGACTGCTGACTCCTGTTTAACGGAGATTCTGGAGTCTAACTTGTTGCAATTGGTCCACTGCAATAAAGAGAGACCCAGAGAGAGGAAGAAAATGCTCCAGCTCACCTAGCCAGTCAATGGAATGGCAGTTATGGGCTTCCAGCCCAAGACTCTTTCTAGGCCTTGAAGCCTTGATAAGAGTCAATGCAAACTACTGATTAGTTTTTAAGAAGTCAATGGCACAATTAGAAAATGAGGAAACTTGGCAGATGCAGCACCAGAGTCAGATCTGGGGCATTTAACAGGCCAAAAGTTCAGAGAGAGACAGCAGTGGGGTAATAACATGGCCTCTTGGAGAGTCCTCTGCCTGAAGCTCTGGGGCCACCTGGGTTAGCAGGCCTGCCTTCTGGGCTCCTCTCACTGAGCTCGGGAGGTCAGCATGAAGCTGCTATGGGGTGGGGGGCGCGAAGAGGGGAGCGCAGCCTTGTGCTCATAATAGAGGCCTCCAAGAGTAGGTCTTCCTCACCTTCAAATTCTCGAAGGCTGATCTGTTTTTTGGTTTTTTTTGAAGACACAGTCTCACTGTGTTGCCTGGGCTAGAGTGCCGTGGCATCATCCTGGCTCGCAGCAACCTCAAACTCCTGGGCTCAAGCGATCCTCCTGCC